AAAGAAAAAAAAATTAAGACTGTCTTCACACCCACAACACTTCAGCACAGACAGTTTCTTTCTGATGTAGCGAACTACAGCCCCCACGTAAGATAAGCTGTAATGCCAAAGGACTTTCTGCCATGATAAGTGTTTCTATGCGAGAGCCTGTTCTAACACAACTGTGTCAGAAAAAACCACACCCTTAACTGACAAAGCCATGCCTGGAAAATGTAAGTGCACAGAAAAAAACCTTCTGCCAGATGCAGTTATTGTCAAATACAGACAGACAGAGGGAACAGTATCTATTACTGGGGWAGCAAAGAAAAATAAACAGCTGTGATAAAATTCAAACACCACTTCATAGTAACAGAAACAATTACATCCATTCTTTTAATACCTATACACAACGTAAGCACTGTGGTGGTCAATGGACCAGCACATCAAATGAGACCCAGCAGCCAACTTGCAGCAGAATGCATTTATCACAGGGCATGTGGATGTGTGAGCACCTGCTATAAACAGGCTGTTTGTGAAATGCTTTTAGGAAACCATGCTTATAAAATTTATAACTCACTTCCAAATACTGAGCACTGTTCTCAAAAAACATTCTGAAACTAGTATTAGTATTTCAGGTTACTTTCATTATTCAAAATCCTCCTCTTCCTCATTCTTTTCTAACCCAACAGAGCTTCATTAAAGGATTCACCTAAGAGGAATGTTACAGAGTTGTGCTACAGAGTTTMGTTTAAACAAAAGAATGAAGCTCTAGAACAGAAAAAACTATAAAATTTTTCACAGTAACATCCACACAGAAGAAAAATATCGATTTTTKAAGAAACTTGCATTCCTCAGTACTCAGACGATGCACATAGAKTCAAAGAAATTTAAACAGGTAAGACAGTGAATAACATTCAATAAGAAACTGCAATAAGTAAAAGGTGCATAAAAAGCTCATCCTTAAATCTGAAAAATTAAATAATTTAAAAAACAGATATTGATTTGGGTTGGGATCTTACTGTAGATAACAAACATTTAAAACTTTAATATTAAACTYATTTTGATACATGGAAGCTGGGACAGATATAAGTAATTATGCCTYTGACAACTTACAGGGTCAGTGTTTCTCACCAAACCATCATAATGAATACTATGTAAACATACATTCAACATACAGGACATCGGGAGGATTTAAAATGCCTCACAATATGTACACTAGCAGGGGCCAGCTAACTACATTTTTTGAAAAAGGAAAGAAAAAAATATTTTGTAATCATGTAAAAGTTGGTTATCTTTTGTAATAAGTTGTAATGGGTTATTTTTTGCTGCTCCACACCCTGAGGAAATTGTTTTTTACTAGGGTTGCAGTCAATGGTATTTGAGCTCAAGGCTCCCTGCCACCAAAGAACTGAGCTCTCCACACCAACACAGCTTTAAGTCTGATGAGGCCAAGTCAGAATAAAAATACACTCTGAGAAGCAGGAAGAAGGTTGTGACAAAGTGACAARGAAACATAAAAGACTTTTAAAAAATTCAAAATAATTCACAAGACAGCATATGCATAAAAACATATTATAATTTGAGGTTTAAGTTTTGGAGAGTTATCTGGTCAAAATCTTACAAAAGTAAATTATTTCAGAAAGAAAAAAAAAAACCAAAACAAAACCCCCAAACCTGCTCTGTTCCTGGTAGCTTACAGTTTGTTAGTACAAAATGGCATGTGAGCAGAAAACCTCTATGGAATCTTGCACCAAATCTGCAAATTAAATGAGCAGCAAACTTCTCAAGTGCTGATACATTCCCAGTTACCAGCAACAAATATTAGGGGCACTCAGTTCCAGAATATKTCATTTTTGAGACCTATTTTGACAATGATATAGTAA